CATTATAAACTAGTGCACATCATTTGAAATTCACAATGTATAACCAAACAATTTAACCCAGTCAATCCTATACATGATACTAAGTTCTCGATCCATCCTTAAACATGCACCTACAAGCAAGGTTTCATAACTTGTACGTACCTTGTGTAAACAATCCGGTTGGCCACTTTAAAACTAGAGACTTCTACAAAGTCCTCTCCTAAACCAAACAATGAGAAATAAATAAATACCCAAGCAAATAAATTTACAGCAATACTAAACTACTTTAAAACCCCTTAAATCATCAAAATAAAGCCTTTAAATTGTCCCCAATAGTCAAAGTTAATAATATAACATCCCAACTATAAGTTTATATGCTAAAATTATGAAAATATAGTGTTTAATATCAAATTACAGCAACTTTAAAGTAAGTAAATAAATCTGAATTTTTTTTTTAAGTATATAAAATAACCCCATAAGCATAATTACTTAAAATAATCATTATATAGCAAGTTAGTGTGTTAAAAACCCAAAAATATATCAATTCAATGCAATTAGAGGCTTCAAAATAAAAAGTATGAAATCTGAAAATTATTTTTAATGTTAGAATTTAAAGTTCAAAGCTTTTTTAAACATAAAATACCCACAATAATTATTTTGTAGGCAAAGAAGCATAAAAACATGAAATTAACATAACTTGCTCATAAAAATTGAAACTTTAATAATCTAAAAATTTATATATGATCAAAATAATTATACTTTAACAAAATTTAAACATAGTATAATTAAATAACTTAATTAGCACGCTTTCAAACCTTAAAACATGAAAAATCAATGTTTAAACCCTAAATTATACAACATATATAATCTGAAATTTTATATATTAATTTATACATGCTATAACTCATAAATTTATAATCTTTAATAAATTAAACATACTATCAAAGCCTAATAACAATAATTTAGAATTGAAATCAAACAAAAATTGAAGCTTTTCATCAAAATAACAAAAAAGAAATAAAAGAAGAGAAAACAAGAGGAAGGAGAAGAGAGAAGGGGGCGAACTGGGCTGCCGGTGGTGGCGGTGCAGGGACGGTGCGGCAGTGGCTGATGCTGCGCACTTCAAGGCTTCACCTTTTTTTTTTCTTTTGTGAGTAGTACGTGAAGGGGAGGAAGAAGTGAGGGTTTTGTTTTGTTTTTTTTTTTTTCCAATTTTATGTGAAAGAGAGGAAGAGAGGTGAGGGTTTTTGTATTTTTATTTGGGCTTTAGTTTCCTAATTTTATTAGGAGTAGGAATTGTGTGGTTTGGGCTTGAATATAATTTAAGCATTGGGCTACTAATTTAAAAGGACTTATGATTTAAACTAAAACTTAATAGTTTAGCTTACTAATAATAAAATCTTATTACTTTTATATCAAAATAATTCATACTATAAAATTAAAATTAAATATTGTAAAAATAATAAATAATCATATTAGAAAAATATGGGGGATTGCAATCTACCCCTCTTAAAAGAAGTTTTGCCCTTGAAACTTAACCCAAAACTGTTCAAACTTTTATAATGAACTCATACTTGGCCAGAGTTTACATACTTTTATTGTATGTAAACGCAATAATAGTGCATAATGATAACCAAAAACATGAAAATTCAAGCAATAAATGGTATAGTTGAGGTAAAAGCGCGAAATTACATCGCATTCTACCCCCCTCAAATGAAAAGAGTTACGCCCTCGTAACTCACCTCGTCAAACAACTCGGGATATATTTTTTTATCTCTTGCTCGACCTCCCAAGTAGCCTCTTCGTACTCCTGGTTCGACCAAAGGACTTTCACTATCTTCACATCTTTGGTTCTAGTTTTACGCACCTTGTGATCTAGTATCTTAACCGGTCTTTCTTCATAAGTTAGAGACTCATCTAGTTGAATAGTCTCCGGCTGCAAAACATGGGTTTCACTAGGCACATACTTCTTCAATTGGGAAATGTGGAACACATCATGCATTTTCTCGAACTCCATTGGCAAAGCTAATTTGTAAGCCACTTTCCCCACACGCTGGAGAATTTCAAACGGACCCACATATTTTGCACTAAGCTTCCCTTTCTTGTCGAATCGCATCACACCTTTTGTTGGAGAGACCTTTAGAAAGACCTTGTCCCCAACACTAAACTCATCATCTCACCTCTTCAAGTAGGCATAACTCCTCTGTCTATCTTGTGCTGCCTTAATACGCGACTGGATTAGTCTCACCTTGCTCACCATATCCTCAATGAAATTTGTTCCCAAGGTTATTCGTTCACTGTAGTCATTCCAGCAAACTGGGCTTCTGCATTTCCTTCCATACAATGCTTCAAAGGGTGCCATCTTGATGCTTGCATGGTAACTGTTATTGTAAGAGAATTCAATCAAAGTTAGGTGATCCTCCCAATTCCCTTGGAAATCTAAAGCACAAGCTCGTAACATATCTTCCATGGTTTGGTTTGTTCTCTCAGTCTGACCATCTGTTGCAGGGTGAAAGGAAGTACTCATCTTCAATGTTGTTCCAAGGTTCTCTTGCACTTTTTGCCAAAACTTTTATAGAAACCTCGAGTCTCTATCTGACACTATGTCCTTGGGAACTCCGTGCAACCGAACTACGTTTTTCACATAGACACTTGCTAGCTGCTTCTTTTTCTAGGTCTCTTTGATAGGAATGAACATCGCTGACTTAGTAAGTCTGTCCACAATCACCCAAATCGTGTCATTCCCAGTACGAGTCTTTGGTAAGCCTGTCACAAAGTCCATGGATATGGATTCCCACTTCCAACCTGGTATTTCTAATGGTTGCACCTTTCCCATGGGTCTTTTGTGGTCTATTTTCACCTTCTAGCACGTCAGACACTTTGATACAAACTCAGCAACCTCTCTATTCATATTCGACCACCAATAGAACTCTTTCAGATCCTTATACAACTTACCTCCCCCAGGGTGAACTGAATATGGTGTATTATGGCACTCCTCCATGATTTTTCTTTTTATCTCTTCGCACTTCTGTGGTATGCACCATCTCTCCTTGTATCTCAGACTCCCGTCTTCATGAATCTTGAATTCAGTCTCTGCACCACTAGTCACTCGATCTCTGATTTTCTGCAATGTCTCCTCTTCCGACTGCTTCACTATAATCTCCTCAAATATGGATGGTTGGATTGTCAGGGCACTCAGCAACCCCTCTAACTCTCCTTGATTAACAACCTCAAGGTTTAATCTTCTCATATCCTCACACAAATCATTGGCCACAATTAAAGCATTGACATCATGGCCTGACCTTCTGCTAAGGGCATCTGCAACAACATTCGCCTTTCCCTCATGATAGTGGATGTGGACATGGTAGTCTATGAGAAACTCTAACCATCGACGTTGCCGCATATTCAAGTGATCTTGGGCGAAGATGTACTTTAGACTCTTATGGTCCGTGAAGATCTTACAAGAAACACCTATAAAGGTAGTGCCTCCAAATATTCAAAGCGAACACAACAGGTGCAAGCTCCAAGTCATGGGTAGGGTAGTTGACTTCATGTTTCTTCAGTTGTCTCGATGCATACGCGATCACCTTTCCATTCTGATGTAGGACACATCCTAGACCATGCTTCGAGGCATCCCTATACACTTCGAATCCTTCTCTCCCATCAGGTAATACCAGCACTGGTGTAGTGGTCAATCGCTCTTTGAGGGTTTGAAAAGCTGATTCACAACTCTCGTTCCACTCAAACTTGCTCTGCTTCTTCATAAGAGTAGGCATGGGTCTAGCTATCCTCGAAAAATCCTTAACAACCCTTCTATAATATCCAGCTAATCCCAAGAAACTACGAACATCAGTCACATTCTTAGGTGTAGGCCACTCACTCACCGCCTTAATCTTCGCATGATCCACGGATACACCCTCCTTCGAAATGCAATGCCCCAAAAATGCAACGTTCTCCAACCAGAACTCACAATTGGAAAACTTAGCATACATCTTATTCTTCCTAAGAGTTTCAAGGGTAGTTCTCAAGTGCTCATCATGTTCTTCCTCATTCTTCGAATACACCAAAACATCATCAATGAACACGACTACAAACTTATCTAAGTACTCATGAAACACTCGGTTCATCAAGTCCATGAATATGGCTGGTGCATTGGTTAACCCAAAAGGCATGACCGTAAACTCATAATGTCCATAGCGAGTTCTAAAGGCAATTTTTGGAATGTCTTTATCTACAACCTTCAACTGATGGTACCCCGACCTCAAGTCAATCTTCGAAAACACACTTGCCCCCTTCAACTGGTCAAACAAGTCATCTATCCTAGGTAGAGGGTACTTATTCTTCACAGTCACATTATTCAACTCTCTGTAATCAATACATAGCCTTAAAATTCCATCTTTCTTTTTCACAAATAACACAGGTGCTCCCTAAGGTGATGCACTGGGCCTAAAGAACCCCTTGTCTAACAAATCCTGCAATTGAGCTATTGGTTCACTCATCTCAGCTGGTGCCATTCTATAAGGTGCTTTTGAGATAGGTGCAGCTCCTGGAACTAAGTCAATGGTAAACTCAACTTCCCTCTTAGGTGGCATTCTCGAAATCTCTTCTAGAAATACACCTAAAAACTCATTCACAATGGGTACATCCTCCATCCGTCTACTCTCACTCATACTCAAATCTTGAACACAACAAAAGTACAATGGACATCCCTTATTCACTAGCTTCTTCACCTTCATAGCAGAAATGATCTCAAAACCCTTAGGCTTCCCTAACCGTCTATAGGACACTGTCTTACCCAAAGGATCACTCAGCTTCACCCTCTGCATCTCACAGTCTATCTTAGCCTTGTATAAACTCAGCCAATCCATCCCCAAAATTACATATAAGTCCCCTAGGTTAAACTCAATAAGGTTTGATGGAAAGATAACTTCTCCTATTTTCAAAGGCAAGCCTTTGAATATTTTATTACAATGAACAAGTTTTCCCGTAGGCAGACTGACTGACACATCAACATGACTCGATTAAGTTAAGTTTAACTTGTGCACAACAGAAGTAGAAATGAAAGAGTAAGCTGCTCCAGAGTCAAACAGAGTGTTGACAGAGACAGATTGGATAGAAAAAGTACCAGTAACTACATCCGAGGACCTCTCATCTTCTCCCTTGCTCATCATAGACAAGAGGCCACGAGTGTTGTTTCTTGCCTGGTAACCATTGTTGTTGTTGCCTGAGTTGTTGTTATTGCCGTTGCCAGACCTATTGTTATTGGTGCTACCATTCCCAAACTTCCCATTCTAACCATTTCCCCTATTCCCTTGGTTTTTGAAGTTGTTAGCCCTCTGCTGGGTGTTCCCACCATTCCCACCATTTCCCTGTTGTTTCTGCTTGGTGTAACACTCATACTCCCTGTGCCCCCTTTTGTTGCAGAACCGACAGGTCACCAAATTCCCATCACAGTCTCTCCCAGGGTGATTCCTCCTACACCTCTTACAGTGGTAGGTTATCTCTCCATTGTTAGAATTGGAAGAAATTCTAACATTTTGGTTACCCCTATCCAATGAGTTCCCATTCCTAGGCCTCTTAAAGTTACTCTGGTTCTCAGATTTCCCAAAGTCCTTCCTTTTCTCCCCAGCCTTAGCACTCGCACTACCACTCCTAGTATTCAGATGGTACAGATGGGCAGCTCTCTCATAAACCTTGTCAAGGGTTTTAAAAAAAATTTCCGGCTAGGCCTTGTTGTAACTCGTCAGTCAATCCATGCTCAAACCTCTGAGCCTTCAGCTCTTCAGTTGGTACTACCTTAGGAGCAAACCTAGAAATGGTCATAAACTTATTATAATACTCAGAGATCGACATATCTCCCATTGCCAGGCTTATAAACTCCTGAGCCTTCTGTTTCTTTAGGAACGGAGGGTAAAACTTGTCCCTCAAGGAGGTCTTAAACACTTCCCACCCAAAGTTAGGTTTGGCCCTAACTGTCACAGCATTATCTCTCCACCAGATATCAGCTTCGTCCTTAAGGTACATAGCGGTCTGGTCCACTTTCATACCCTCAGGACAGTTGAGTGCCACGAACAGCTTGTCAAACTCTCGAATCCAGTTTTATAGGAAAGTAGGGTCAACACCTCCCCTAAAAACTGGTGGCCTGACCTGGGAAGCTTCTTAAAGATCTCAGCTTGGGGGTCGACTTGGTCTCCCCAATTTTGGTTTAGATTTTTCAGCCAACAAACGAATAGCATCAGCTAAGGAAACATTCTCAGCCATTCTAGCTTTACGCCTGAAATAAAATAAATATGCGCTCCATTTCAAATGAAACGCATATACCATTCGCACATATTCATTGAATCACAATATTACATTTGTCACATAATTGGTTCAAAAGGGTACCTTGAGATTGCACCCCCTTGTCCCAAGCAAAACCACACGATAAAAACACGATTCATACGCAGGATTAAATGAAGTTAAGAAAATAATTTCCCCATCCCGTGACACTCTCGTCAAGTTTACTCATAGACAAAGAAATTCTCCCTAAAAATTATATGATCACAAAAATTAAACTTGCTCTTCTCACAAATAAAAGTAAAAAATGAAGCTCTTAAAATAAAATATCAACTTCTTATTATAACTTATATAAAGGTATCAATCCCAAATAAAAACTCTGTAGCACTAGCTACTTATTAAAATTAATCATCCAAATCATACTATAATGAGGTTCTAATAACCATTATCAATGGAAAATGCCTTATTCATGCTAACTCCACCCTAACAAAAATAATCCTCAAGGTATCACATTGATGTTCGTATCTTTCTTCTCATTATAATTATTAACATCAAAATCAAGATCATTTTCATCAACTGAGTCTTTAATAATTATTGCCTTGTAGAGCGGATTCGGATTCCTAGTAGTTCTCTTCCCAGCATTTGGATCTTCAGGTGGTGGTTGCAGCCATTCAAGCTCATCCTCATCTGGAAATTCAATAAGAGTATACTCATGGAACATTCTGTGGTAGGTTCTAATCTTATGCTTTTTATTCTTTCCTGTTTTAAAATCATGGGATGTACTGGTAGTCTTCCTCATCAGGATTAGTTGGCGTCATAGTCTTTTCAAACCTTTCCAGAGTATCTTCACTTCGAGTATCATTCTCATCCTCAAACACAACAATGGGGTTGTTCCTAATATCATTATTCATGATTTCGGACATGATTATTGAGTCGTTCATCTCTTTTTACGTTAACCCAACGCAACGAACATTCAAAAAGCATAATACAAGCACATCACAAAATAAATCAATTACAACATAATTACAACATATTAAATAAATAAGAAAATAACACTTCATATGATAGTTAAATGCAAAAGATATGTATGAAATATTCATGCATTCCCTTCTTAAGTCTACCCAAAGCTCACCAAGTAGACAAAATAAACTTCAAAATTATTTTAAATAAAATGGTTTAAAACATACTTAGTTTCAAATAAATAAAAAAAAACAATTATCTTTAAAACTCAAAATTTTAACCATTGAATAGGCGCCTAAGTTACACTAATCTAATTGGCTTTAGTGGTAATTAAATCTAACCTAAGCTCCTAGATACCACTTTGTAACACCCTAATAATTCTCTCTTAAAAACCTGTGAATAACCTGAACAATTCCAAGAGAATTACTGGCGTGCTACCGCCACGTGTTCAAACGTTAAGGCTTTTTCAGAAAATAGCAGCTGAAAAACTAAAATAAATATATATAAGTTTCAAAACCAATAACCAATACCAAATTAAATCTTACAACTTGGAACCCTTAAGGCCCTTATTCAAAACTGAGACCAATAGAAATAGTATGAAAGCAAAATTGAGTTTAAATAACTTTAATTGTAAATAGTAAATAAAATAAGAAAAGCAACCAACTCTTCACTCAAGATCCCACCATCTAGAAATAGATGCTGCATGTGTAAGAACCTATGGTTAATCTGCTCCCCAATATTACAAGTGTAAAAATTGGATCGTCACAAGGTCATTGAAAGGCGAAGGCCATGACCAAAGAAAGACACACACAAAAGCACGCAATCAGCAAAACTGAGTATATACAAGTAGACTTGACAATCTTGACCTAGACCCGATGACCCGACCCATGACCCGAAATCGACCCGAAATTAGTGACCCGAAATTGACCCAAAACCCGAATTAACCCGACCCGACCCATACCCGACCCGAAGTGGAACTGACCCGACCTTGACCCAAAACCCGAAATGACCCAACCCGAGATGACCCGACCCGAAGTTGACCCAAGACCCGAAACGACCCGACCCAAAGTTGACCCAAGACCCAAAGTTGACTTGACCTGAAAATGACCCGACCTTTAACTTCTTTTATTAAATAATTGTATAAGTTATAAAAAGTTTATATTAGGAAATTATACATTAAAATAGACCCAACAACATCTTACATGACTACATTGACTTTCTTATAATAGCTAAAAAGACGGTCAAAGTGAGATGTGTAAATAGTGCAAAATGTCAAATCGTTAAGGGTAATTTGGGACGGAGAGAGTATAAGAATAATTCAAAGAAATTATTGTAACAATGACAATGATAATAAGAGTACGTATTAAAACTAAGATCAATAAGAGAGTGTGGTATAACTCAATTAGTTAGAGCATCCCTCTTAGTTTCAGGAGATCCTGAAAGTGATTCTCAATCTAAACACACACAAAAAAAAAGGTTAATATAAGTCAAACAATTACTATATTCTATGAGAAAAATAGACTTAATAAATATAGTGAGTTTTTCGTCAATAAATAAATAAATAAATATATATATATACAGAGTTGAATTTCACCCAATGGATCACCCGAATATGACTCGACTCGAAATTGACCAGACCCGAATTTAATCCGAAAATTGACCCGACTCGAACTGACCCGACCCAAAAATTGACCCGACCCAAACTGGCCCGACCCGAAAATTGACCCGACCCAAAGTGTTGACCCGATACCTGACCCGACCCGATTATCAGTCGACCCGAAAACAACCTGAAACCCGAAATGACCCGACCCGACCCGATAACCTTAAGACCCGAACTTGACCCGACCCGAAATGACACGACCCATACCCGACCTGAATGACCCATTTGCCAGGTCTACATACAAGCTGCGAAATAAATTAAGAAACATACCTAACATGCTACTAATACTCAAGCATAAGCATCATTAATTAAATACAGACTCAACACATGACTCAATTATCAATTTTATTAAGACCTCACTAGTTGATATTAACTAACTCATTTATTTATTTAATTGGATTTAGCAATAGACAAGGTTGTCCAACCCATGTCCCATTTGGAACATCAATAAAAGAAAAACCCAATGCCTCCTTTCGGAAACATCAATAAACATCCAACGACTACGGGCGTGATTCCGTGACCGTAGCTAGTATGAGATCTCACTAACTCCTAGTTTTAAAAAAAATAATATTTGAAATAGGAGACTCGTAGATCAGACGGTCTCGATAAAAGTACACGGATAATACCCCATGTACCCCAACCCCTGATTGTCATTAGTCCAGATGTGCACCAATCCAGAGTTTTATTGCTCATCCATCTTGCACTTTACGTGATTTACAGGTTTAGACTTGGTGATGACTCATATACATTACAATACAAACATTCCTAACACAATTCAACCAAACATGGCAAATTCCCAATTTAAATATTTTATTTATTAGTGACAAACAACATTTATTAATTATTCCTTTACTACCTCAGTGTATAAACACCTTGAGTACATAAGTGTAGGGAATATTTCAAGCGTTAATCCCCTAGATTGAACCCATTGTGATCATACACTAAAGTACGGTGGCGTTCAAAAGGGAAGAAGATAGAGCAAAAGAGTCGCCAACAAGTTTTAGGAACTTGTAAACCGTTCACATGGTGAAGGTTACACCCCTTAACGATCCAAGAGATCAACAACTCTATAAGGTCTTGAACCAAAATAGGGTTCGGGGATGAAGGTACAAATCCAACCTAAAAGAGATTGAATCTGCCCTAATAATAGGCCTCTACTTTATTTTGATCGTATTCATGTGCGCTTTTCTGACTAACATACAATCAATAGGATTAAACCTAAAACTGTTTAATTTTGATGCCTCATACCTCTTTCCAATAACAAAATACACACGTTAGTAACTTCAAGGAAAATAATAAAATAACAATTAAATTAAATAATAATTGAAAAAAATATTTGGGACCAAACCCTCATAAATTAAACCTTTCACGTCTAGGGCGAAGGCAACTTCGAATATGGCTAGGTGTTTCTAGATCTAATGAATGCGGAATTTTTATATTTGAGAAAAGCTAGTTTAGAAAAAAGAGAGAAAGAGAGAAAATTAGAGAATTGATGATTATTGATGATGGTCGATTAATGTTGATAAAACTGGTTGTTGAAAACGGAGTTTTTAATACGTTATTTATAGAAAAATCAGCCAAAAAGATAAAATATCAAAACAGTGTTCTAGCGCACATAAAACGATGTTGGCGCCAACGCCGGCTATTGGCGCCAGGCGCCAACATTAGCGCCAGGCGCCAACATTAGCGCCAGGCGCCAATGCTAGCGCCAGGCGCCAATGCCAGCGCCAGGCGCCAATGCCAGCGCCAGGCGCCAATGCCAGCGCCAGGCGCCAATGCTAGCGCCAGGCGCTACAACTGGCGTTTGGCGCTGATCTAGAAATTCACGCGTTTTCTTAAAATCAGATAAAAATTGTCGTACAGGAGGATAAAATCGTATTTCCCTCAAAAATGCTCTTTGATTTTAATTAAAACTCTGAAAAAGTCAACAAAAGTTAATTTATCAATGCTAATTGAATTAGGAACGAAAAGAACCTACTAGAAGAATCTAGAAGACTAAAACCATTCCTAATTGCATTAGGAATGATAAATCCATATTAGGCCCTCCCCTAGATCATTGGGCCGCATATAAGGCTCAAAACGGGCCCAGTTCAGTAAATTGGCCATAACTTCCTCGATATTCATCGGA